TATAACGAAACATATGAGTTAAAAAATAAATCGTGAAGCATTCTTAGTGTTTTTATGAAAAATAGCATGCTCCGTCACAGCGGACAAATCTTTCGATACCAGCCTGTGTGTATGTGGCTTTTTAGCAAATCTGCCACGCTCATTTCTTTCCAGAACCATCTTGTTCAAATGTATCACTATACACGCATGTATAGACAGATGACATAGATATACATATAAATTATATATTGCACCTGTATTTACTTACATGGGAATATATTCCCTTTGGAAAAATGCAAATGCATGAACATATATTTTCATCTTATATATGACTTCAAGCGAACATATTATTTCATATTTATATTTTCATAGTTAGTTTAACATGAATAATAGATCCATGAGAACAATATTTTTTTTTTTAAATTGATGGGTTTACTGTGAATTCAATAAATTACAATTTGCAAGGGGTAAGTATACTGTATGAGCTAGCTTGTGGCTTTGTATTTTATGTAAGGCCAGGGTAATTAAATTAGTTGTTTCTCTTTCTTCTATTTTTTCAAAATTGATACGGGAATGACGGTTTTAATATTACCTTTTTTGTCTATCTAAAATGCTGATGAGGGACGGGATGATTTTTTTCTTTAAAATAACTGTAAAAACAAATAACTAATTTTGAAGGAAATGAACTGAGTTTATGTTGAATCTATATGTTGAATTTAGCCTACTTTACTGATATATTTGATCATATATCAGTACCACGATATTGTCGATTATCCTGATCCATAAAAAGTATAAAAAAAGTGTTTCCCAAGCCATGGATGCACGCGAGGTACAGTGTTTTTTTCTCAGAAATGGCAGAAAAAAGGTGGAGGGGGGATTGGGTCACACGCGGGCAAGAATGAGAAACAACTAATTTAATTACCCTAACCTTAGTTCATCCAGTAGTACATTTTTACTGCAAAGTAGTGTTTTTATATGCAGCTTAATAGCATAAAATATGTTGAATGAAGCATATAGTCCCTGATATGGACCCTCTGAAAAAAAGTTTTGTTGTCCGGTACTTTCCCACATAAAATGATTGTACCGTTTGAAAGAACAGACTTCCCTCTTAAAGAAAACACCTCTTATATTGATGTAAACAGGGGCAAAAGGCACCAAAACGGGGTTAGACAAGGTGGCATTCTGAAGTCTCACTTTCTTGTCATCACGATTCCATGTAAACCATCAGACGGATTTACTTCAAGTTTTCACACATGTTACATGGTAAGAAGTTCTAGAGCTGATTCACTTTGCAGCGGCCATCTTGCATTCTGGCAGCCATCTTGGAGTTTTTTTTCAGATAAATATTGTCATCACAATTCCACAAAAACCACATAACAGATGTACTTCAAATGTTCACACATGTTACATGGTAAAAAGTCCTAGACCTCATTATCTTTTCGGTGGCCATCTTGCATTCTGGCAGCCATCTTGGAAGTTTTAAGATAAATCTTGTCATCACGATTTCAGGAAATCCAAATGGATTTACTTCAAATTTCCACACATGTTACATGGTAAGAAAATATAGAGGTGAATAACTTATCGGCAGCCATCTTGCATTCTTGCAGCCATCTTGGAAATTTTGGGATAAATCTTGTCATCGTGATTCCAGGAAAACAACCCTTAGATTAACTTCAAATTTTCACACATGTTACATGGTATGAAGTTCTAGAGCTGATTAACTTTTCAGTGGCCATCTTGCATTCTGGCGGCCATTTTGGAAGGTTTATAGATAAATCTTGTAATCACGATTCCAGAAAAACCACTTCACAGTTTTACTTCAAATTTTCACACATGTTACATCAGGCCTGTCAACTGTCCCGCAATTTGCGTATTTGTCACGCATTTGCTGAAGAATTTGAAGTCACGCCAGTTATTTTTGCGTGACAGAAAATGTCAATTTAAACCAAGGTGTTCAAAATTTGGACCAAGGTGTTCAGATTTGGACCAAGGTGTCCACATTTTGAGGGGAGGTGTTCAACATTTCCAAGTCACTCATGTTAGGTGTTCCCAAGTTGACAGGCCTGGTTACATGGTATGAAGTTCTAGAGCTGACTAACTTTTCGGTGGCCATGTTGCATTCAGTCGGCCATCTTGGAAGTTTTTAGATAAATCTTGTCATCACAATTCCATGAAAACCACGTAACAGTTTTACTTCAAATTTTCACACATGTTACATGGTAAGAAGTTACAGAGCTGATTAACTTTCCGATAGCTATCTTGCATTCTGGCGGCCATCTTGGAAGTTTGTAGATAAATATAAAATACAGTCAAAGCATTTACCACCAACAAAGGATGCTCTCATTCTCCATATAAATAAAGCCAACTATCAGGCCTATATTTGGCAAAACGCAGACAAATCAATGATTGATTATCAATCCCCCACATTACATGGTTGGACATTCAAAGGGAATAAACTACAAATTAAGTGGATTGAAAACGGTCCTGCCCCCCAATAAATAATGGAGCTTGTTGCTTGTAGTTGTAAAGGAGCGTGTGACTCAATGAGATGTAGTTGTAAGAAACAGGATCTCATTTGTGGAAGTTCATGTAAGTGCCGCAAAGGTGTGTGTGAGAACTGTCCAACCCATCAGCACGATGATGTTGATGAGAGCGACAATAAATTTGAACCAGTTGATGACACCATTACACCAAACGTTGAAGATCAGGAAGAAAATGAATTACCTGAAAATCTCTTACCTGACAACTGGATGAACTTGTCAAAGTTGATACCATAATATGAATTATCTATTATTACAGGTACGATTTGTCCTTATTCCTTATTTCACGCATTGTAGGCAGAATCCTCTCTTTTCTCACAAACGTGAATCAGTATCATATGTCTTAGAAAATGTACATGTTTGCGAAAAATAGCTCAGAAGACGACAGAATCGTTGATTTAATTCCTAACTTTAGTTACATAAAGGTTTGGGTTAAAAGTGCAGATCTGAACTGTTTTTTCAAAATACCGTTTATGTAACTTGTAAAAAGTGAGGAATTAAATGTATGACTATGTTGTCTTCTGAACTATTTGTTTGCAAATATGCACATTTTCTTAAACATATGATACTGATACACGTTTGTGAGAAAAAATGTCGTGGGAATTCTGCCTACAAAGTGTGAAAGGAAAAATCATACCTTCGATGTTCCCACATTTTGTTACCGAAACAAACCGTTTAGGTAACCAGCATAATCGAGTGGATCACTATAATATACTTTCATAGTCTTTAATAATGTTAGGGAGGATGAGTTGTATAGGCATACTATGTCATGTTAGATCATGATCTATACTATTTTTATTATCGCCTCTTTTTTAGTAGCGCCTCTTGCCCATGTTTCTATCAATATAAAACATGATATCATACACCAAATATGCATTTATGTCAAATTATGTGGTTTAAAATACAGAAAAATAGATAACATTCTCCTTAGAATACCACCTTGTGTAACCCCACTTTACTGCCTTTTGCCCCTGTTTATATCAATATAAAAGGTAGCATGTAACCTTCCTTGAAACATGTGTAAAAGTTTCAAGAAAATCAGTAAAGTGGTTTTCCTGGAATCACAATGACAAGATTTATCCAAAAAACTTCCAAGATGGCCGCCAGAATGCAAGATGGCCACCAAAAGGTTAATTAGCTCTAGAACTTCTTACCATGTAATATGTGTGAACATTTGAAGTAAATCCGTTTGGTTTTCCTGAAATCGTGATGACAAGATTTATCTTTAAACTTCCAAGATGGCTGCCAGAATGCAAGATTGCCACCGAAAAAATAATGAGGTCTAGGACTTTTTACCATGTTACATGTGTGAACATTTGAAGTACATCTGTTATGTGGTTTTTGTGGAATCGCGATGACAATATTTATCTGAAAAAAATTCCAAGATGGCCGCCAGAATGCAAGATGGCTGCCGCAAAGTTAATCAGCTCTAGAACTTCTTACCATGGAACATGTGTGAAAATTTGAAGTAAATCCGTCTAATGGTTTACCTGGAATCGTGATGACAAGAAAGTGAGACTTCAGAATGCCACCTTGTCTAACCATGTTTTGGTGCCTTTTGCCCCTGTTTACATCAATAGAAGAGGTGATTTCTTTAAGAGGGAAGTCTGTTCTTTCAAACGGTACAATCATTTTATGAGGGAAAGTACCGGACAACAAAACCCCTTTTCTAGGGTCCTTTTGGAAATCAGATTGGGGACTAGTACACTATTTATGTGTGTACTACATGGGAATACGATTCCCTGGGAAACAAAACACAAATACTTTTTATATGTTCAAAATGAGCCATTTGATTGATGCATACACTTAATAGCTCATTAATAACATCTACAAAGTATATCTAATAGTAATTTTCAATTTCAATGGTGAAACTTGCCTGTTTACGATTATACGGGAAATTAACATGGGACGAAGATTGTTCACCTTCCTGACTTACCTCTGAAGCCTGTACCTTGTAATCTCTTTATATAGGTTACCGAGAGCGCTGCGCCTGCGCAGTTTTAAACTTTGGCGCACACTTTAATTGTTTTTCTGATTTCAAAATTGCTGTCTAAAGAGTGATTTTTTTATAATTTAGAGAACTCTTCAAAAGATGGTTACATTATACTTTATTAGATCTCAAATATTGTATTTTTGCCTTTGTGATTTATGCCTTTGAAACTCCTAAATTGTCACCCAAATGCTTGAATTGGTGGAATTTTTGATTCATCTCCAATTTCTGCCTGTCATCATCCGCAAATGATGGGTAGAGTAGAGGGTAAATATGACTACTCCTTGGTGTTTAATAGCTTTTATGTTCAATTGTATGGAAAGAGTAGTCTATATTCTCAGTAAAACCTGTGAATGAAACACGCTTGGGACCTGCATGAACAAAAATACTTCACCTCTATAAATATTAACTTGATTTTTGATTTAAAGGTGGCATTAATGTTTCAATAGTCAATATTTAAAGTATTTTGTACAATATGTTTCTGTTTATAGATGGCATGTGTGATCCGTGTACCAGTTGAGGTTGTAAAGCAGAGAGCTCAAGCCAATCCTAGATACTCATCATTACATTTTCTCAGGTTAACTTTACGTTCAGAGGTACTTAATATGAATACATTACTCAAACATTCTTAATTAAGATAGGTCAAAGGTTGAAAATATTTCTAAACAAAAAACCTCTATAAATCATGGAAACCATCAAATCTCGTATGTCATTTATTGCACAATTACAATTACTCAGATGCGAGTAGGTAGTTACCAGTTTCGCCACCAGGTGGCTGATTCGGGGGAATAACACAGCAGGGTATTACAAAATTCCCTTAAACTCGAATATTCATCAATTTTAGTGGTTCACTTTTCATATTACCCTTATGTATCTGATAGTTATACAAATAAAAATATGTCCAGTAAAGGAAAATATTATCTGCCCAACACAAGAAAAGATATTTCACTTTTTGCGACATGGGGTCTATGGGGAATCTCCCCTACTTAGAAATCACATTTTCAAAGAAAATTGAATTTTCAAAGTTGATAAATTCTTTTCAAAACAACATTCTGAAACTAATTTTAGGTGTAGATTCCAAATATAACCTCAGTTTGACTGAATTTTGAATTCTTAATTACGTAAATCAAGATTATTTCAACTCGCATCTTGTCTATTGACTGTAGACCATAGACCATAGCGAATACCACAACAATAACTTGTTCTACTTGTAAGAGTGTTCAGTGTCTTGAATAATTGTATATTTCAGGGCTTTAGAGGGTTATATAGAGGCTACTTAAGCACTGTGATGCGTGAGGTTCCATTTTCCTTTATTGAGATGCCAATATGGGAGTACCTCAAAGTAAGACATTATTCATTCAGTAACATTTCTATTTTTTGTTGTTTTTATGTCCCCATAAGAACTTTTTTGTGGACGGTGTTTGGCAGTCAGAATTTGGCTGTTAGTGGTTGGCACTTAATGGTTGGTGTTCGGTACCTGTAACAAATAGCAGGTGGTGACAATTTGCATGTTAATGCCTTGTTTTTCTTGAGGTGTTGATACATGACAGTGTTCAAGATGTTTTAGATTTATTAGTGGCATTAGTATGCATACAGTATGACAATGTGACACTATGTAACTCCATATCTTTTATTTGGCATTGGCATTGCCATAAACATATTTGACATTGAGACGTGATCTGAGAGTAGAATTTTGGTACACAGAATGAAATTCGAATGTCAATGTATAATTGGATCCAAGAACCTTGGAAAATGTATGTACTGGTATCTAATTTCTATGTACTAAAATGCTTGATATAATGAAGCGGATTTTATTTTGAATACAAACCCTGGTTTAGTACATTGACCTGTCCTGTTTCGTTGTTTATGTGAAAGTTAGTTAGTTTAATATTCATACTGTGCCTTATCAGTTCTGTAATTGAAATGACCTTTAAAAATATCTGTTCTATAATCTGGACATTCTGATATTATTGAAATTTGTAGATTTATCTGATCTTGTTGTTCAAATCTAATAAATCAATATTACCATCAAGTACATACAGGGTGTGTCCATAATTATGTTGCTTGGAATGTTATGGATTGTCCACATAAAATTGTCTAAAATTGATTATGAAATTTGCCTTAGGGTCTATTAGTCTTTATAAGAAGCACATGTTTTTCTTTCGAAACACAGTATTTACCTGTAGTATATAATAAGATCACATCTTTAATAATCATTTACAAATACTGTACTGTAAATACTGTACTGTAGTATTTTATAACACTAAATGTCATGTAATCAGTGTTCACAACTATCAAAAGTCATGGTATGTAATAATTTCAAAAGGGTATGACAAATCTTCCAGTCATAGAATTGTAAGCTTGACAGTGATAATAGCGCCAATTATTGATATTAATTCAGCTCGTAATTTCAGCAGAAATAAGTCAACTATCCCATAATTTTAAATTGACCCACCCACACCAGGGAGTGTCTTAACAGGGATTTCAGATATATACATTCCTTCAAGACCAGTTGTAACTTGTAATGCTATTTTCCAAAACATTATTGTACATTATTTTCCAATACATTATTGTACATGCTGTGCAAATCCAGATCAAACTAACTGGCTACAGGCATCTGGGCTAGCACTTACATTGCAGTCTGACCCACAATGAATACACTATTTTTTATTTTCAGAAATACTGGTCTGTAAGGCAGGGTTCACCTGTAGAAGCATGGCAGTCATCTATATGTGGGGCAATAGCAGGGGGGCTAGCAGCTGGTATAACAACACCATTAGATGTAGCAAAGACTCGGATCATGTTAGCACATGTATGTTTACATTCTACTACATTATGCCAATTCCATTACACCAGTAATATAATTATCCCATCAAACAAAGTTCAGTAGGGTCCTTCACTGCTTTCATAGCAGATCATGTAATGTAATTCAATGAATTACTCTTGGGCCAAGGATGTAGAGAAGCCATCCATTCATTTGTTTGTCCATCCATCTGTATATTCATTCAACCTTCCATTCACCTGTTAGTCCCTTTGTCCCAAAAGACACAGTTTTGATTCAAAGATATATGTTCACAAGACCTCTGCTCAATTCAAAATGGCCACATGTAAATTGTAATACAGGATAACTCAAATACCAGTTGTCGGATTTGCATTAAGCATGTAGTGTTGCTTTATGTATGCTGCTGACATGGGATCATTTTCAAAATGGTCTTTTATGTTGAAATGGCTGCCATTTTTTTGTAAAAAGTTTAATGATAACTCAAATATTAGGTTAGATGATTTTATAGGCTAATGCATTATGGGCAGAGGACCTTTGTTTGTCAAGGAATTTTCAGAGTGGCTGCCAAGTTCAAAATGACCAGAATTTTCAAAGAGATGTTATTTTTGGCCATAATGTAAATGCTTTTTAGTCAGCAATTGCCATGTTTAGAAATAATGTCATAGGTTCACAAACACTCCGCTTAAGAGGACATTTTAATCATAATGGCTGCTCATCAAAATCAAAATGTCAATTTGTGTTAAAATTACATTTTGGCTCTGTGTTGATGGGTGATTTGATACAATGTTTTATTCAGTGGGGTTTTCTACTCTGTGGAGTTGCTATTCTGCTAGTTTTGCTCTCTTTTAGGATCTAAATTACCCCCCCCCCCATATTATCTATCCAACTTCGTCACTTTATATAACTCTAAATAATAATGGAGGGGGGACTTATATGACTTTATGCATTGGTCTGCAATATGTATTGCTTTTTTTCATGTACTGTAACTGTTAAACAGCTTTCAATTTGCAAGGACTCTTTTGGGGTAGATATTGTAGCAGATAAGCTTTGCAAAATCTAGTTGGAAACAACCTTGTCAGCTAAGGTCAAATTTTTCTCATGCAACAACTTTAGTTCTAGTTAAAGGTTGTATCAGGGATATAGAACACTGCTTTCAATAACATTTTATTTTAAATATGCATAAATTTCCCTGATTATTTTGAAAAATCGACACATCTGTGCATGTCAGAAATTTAAAGAAGATTTAAGAATTATAATTTTTCATGGGTGTGTAAAAGTTTACCAAAAATTTATGAAGTTAGCCAAAAATGAATTAAAATGACAATTTTGTTTGCTCAAGCAGTCACATCAATTAGCCAAAAAACTTGTGAATTTTGTTGAGTCATTTTTGCATTATCACTTGCTTTTCCCAATTTTACCCAGTTCTGACAAATATCTTAAAAGGTTTATTAAGTGACCAAAAACAGTGTGTGTGTGTGGGGGGGGGGTGGTAAGTTCTTGCACAGTCTTATGGCATGAGCTTGATTTCAATATTTCTTGCTTTTATCGCCCCTTCCATGGCAGTTTCTCCCTTTGATATTCACATTCACAAGCTTTAAAGAATACATTACATTAATTAACTGACATACATTTTGTGACCTTCTAGATTAAAAAGATATGCTGGATTGGCATTTAAGGTCAATGTTAATACAAATATATGTTGTATATATTATGAAAGTCATTTACTTTTGACAAATCTTTAGTTTCATGTAAACAGCTGTTTGACCCTGATACAGGAAAAAACTGGCCTGGCTAAACAGGAGGAAAACAAACATCAACCGAACAAACATATATGAAATATATCCTTTTTAAATCTAAAAAACATGAAAGAGGATAATTTATTGCTCCAAGCGAGTATCATCCTAGCTCTAAATCTAAGACATATCTATATGGCATCCCAATCTACAGAGTTTTTTAGTGGTAAATTTGAGGATTGTCACACCTACCTAATTTCAGTCGTTTGATTGGCTGAATTATTTGAACATGCCCATGACACACACATCCTTGACTAACAATGATACTTTGGTTCTCCAGGAGGTATAACTTTTTTATACCTCCCATTCATTGTTTATCTTCCGTCACTGAATTCCTTAACAGTTTTTCTCACTCTTATACACAAAGCTGGATGTACGTAGTTTTTGTCCTCTAGATGTCAAGCTATCAATAGGCAAGCCTTTGTAAATTCATTTGATCTTTTTATCTGAATAAAACAAAGTTTTTGTCCCTAATTTCTAAATGTACTATTATTAAGAGTATGTGAACGTGACATCATAAAGCAGTTTTTTCAAAAGCGATTCATGAATGAAATGAACATGTAAACACAAGCTGGACAGAATCTAGTGTATTACTCACTACACTGTATTTTTATGCCACATGGAGTAATTTTCTGTTTATAACTAGAAACAATCAACATGTAATTAATTCAATTTATTAGTTTATTCCCATATTGTGTATGAACTAGTTTTCATACACATATTTTATATTCAGTGTGTATCATCCTATTTGGGTTATTGATGCTATTTACTATATTATGTCCAGTAGTTAGAGATGAAGCGGCAGACTTCTGTTTATTAGTTGGAAACAATAAACACATAATAAGTGTAATTTATTAGTTTCTCAACTGTGTGTATTAACTGGTTCCTAGACAAAATGGACAATTATTATCTCTCTTTGTCTAATATGAAGAGGGAGAGGGAGAGGGAGAGGGGAGGGGGGTTATGGCTATGGATCCAGTTATAAGACTTTCTTGAAATTATGTTATGTGGAGTTTTATGATTAAATATGTTTATAGCAAAAGCCTTATTTTTTGAAGGTATAATGAGTCTTGTGAAATTTGATCTCCTTGAAATAATCTTAAATAATTTGAAACAAAGAGGGTAGTATAACTAGACTGTGTGTGGGTAGTTCACCCTGTGCCTTGCCAGTAAACTGATCACCCTATTTTCTTAAAACTGACCACCCTATTTTCTTAAAACTGATCACCCTATTTTCTTAATCTTTGAGAGAAGGTATTCCATAATATCTCTGGATTGAAGTATCCTTCTGAAATAAATATCCTATGATTTATAAATGATATGATTTTTATCCCTTAATGGCTTTCTATATTTACCCCAACAAGCATATCATTTCCCTTTGGTAGCATCTGGTAACTTCAAATATGAGAAAGGTGCCAGGGATGAAATGTTTCAGAAAATGTCAGATCTTTAACTTCAGTTATCTCAGTAAAGGAGGGAGGGGTAAAATATTCGAAAAATGTTTTTAACTGAGCTTTAAACAATAAAATTGTTGCCTTAAAGGAACTTCCAATCCTGTGCAAAGGAAGAGTTAAATACAATAACAAGATTCTTTTATAACTTACAAATATATATGTCCTTTATATGGGTTACAGGATTTAGACATGAATGTGTTGTGTTGTGTTAATGTCTCTTTCATTCAGCAAGTGATTGGCATTTGTTATCTGTATTTTGTTCTTCACTATAATATTTTTGATTGTGTTCATGTTATATGTCAGGGTCACCTGAAAGGGGAATTTGGGAATTGTATATATTTTTTACCAATACTCTCAATGTGATTTATCGAGCCACTTGAAGTGTCAATGTTTTTAAGCATATAGCTATTCTATATATCATAATTATGGTGTTATAATCACACTGAATGAATTTTGTTTACATAGATCATTCAAGCTGTCAATTTATTTTGTCCATCTGTCCTCAATATATCAAGATATCTGAGAGTTAACTCAAATACTGTATTTGGACATGTTTAAAATATTATATAGGCTTGACACTCATGGGTATAGGCTATGTCATTTATGAAATTCACAAAATGGCCCTCAAATTCCTGAAAAACCTGGATGCTGTTAAATAAATACACATATTGTTCATAATAATGCTGTTTAGTTGCAGGAGGTTCATGAGGCAGTTTTTTTTCAAATTGGTGCCATTTTTAAAATTGACATTCACATCAAAATGAATATCATTTTTGTTTAAGATAATTTTCCTTAATGACTTTTTACCATAATGACCTTCAGCAATTTGTGCCATGAATTTTGATGGATTTGCGTTTAAAATATGAAATGGGTTAAGAAAACTCATTTATTCCTTTTGTTGGCAGTTTTCTAGAAACTGCCTGGATATCCATGTTATCCTATCAAAGGCCCATATAAAAAGTAAAGGTGATCTTGAAATGACATTATTAAAATATATGAATGTTTATTTATTATTATTATGATCTTGCACCATGCACTCCCATATCTCCCTCATACCCCTACTCCTTCCCCTACCTCCTCCCCCCTTTTAGTTTGTACATTGTTGAATTTGCATGAAACTAACATCATATAAATTAAAATTGCTGTTTTTTTATATTTGTAGAAAACATCTGCAATAGCTCAAGGCCACATCTTATTTGCAATGCAAACAATTTACAAAGAAAATGGAATTAGAGGGTATGTTGTTATTTACATAATTTACTCTTGTTAAGATACTAAATCATGTTCATTAAGGGAGGTGCATTACAAGTCAGCTTGAACCCAACCCACAACCTTTGATTTATAACTAGGCATTTATATATTATTCTATGGACTTATACGGTCATAGTGAAAAGAAATAAACTAAAAATCTGTTTAAACCAACCAGAACTGTGCATATAAATATTATTTCTGTCATGATGATTGCTAATTTTGGCCTAGCTGGCAGATGGAATGCATTACATCTCTAGTTGTTTACATGCATGGACCTTGGACCGTGTAAACATTAACGTGCCTTGATGATTCTCGAAAAAATTAATCAAATTCAAAAGCTCCAAAAGATCCAGTAGCATTAATTGATACTTCACTTCATTGTTTTACTTTTGATAAATGAAGGTACAGCATATATGTACTTTATATACATGTGAATAATTATGAGGAAAATGAGGAAAGCTGTGATAATTATGTAAGAATTTATCGCCATATAAGACAGCAACTGTAAAGCTACTTATATATCCAAGGTGAAGTTAGTCTATATTTCAGGGCTCATGGGCTTGAACCAGATTAAAAATAAAAATAAAAAGTGCCTTGATTGCAAGCCTTAGAAATACCATAAATATTCATTGTTTGAACTTTAAAAGCTTAAAATAGCTCTTTAATTGCTTGTTGGTTAGCATTGGCATTGGAAAATCACGTGAATTCCTATAAATGCTATGGTTATTCCAGGGTTTTCTGCATGATCAAAACCCTTGTTGTATCTATTGAATTCAAATGGCCCTGGATGGAGTATATATAAGCATGATTCAGTAACACTCATTAATAAAGCGACTCTGCTTCTAACACTGATCCTGAAATATCCAAAAGTCAAAAAATCTAATTTTGTCATTTCTATATTTAATAAATTCATTGCGTCTTTTCAGTAAGAATCAAAGCTGGAAAAAATATTTAAACTGTCTTAGCAATGAACCTGTTAGCATCAATATGTTATACCTGGAAATACTTTACCTGAATGGAAACTTGAAACTTGTTATATGATATTATAACGAGAATTGTTCTAGTTTAACCTAAAATACCTTGAGACTCAACAATTTTTACCAAATGTTTCCAATGAATGCTTTAAAATGTAATTCTAATGCATTATGACAATTTGAACATTTGTTGTGACATCATCATTGTTGCCCTTCCGTACATTGACTCACATCTTCAGAACAACGGGGAATCAAATAAATCAAGAGAACTTGTACCTCAAAATTCGGTAAAGAATTTAGCTCTTAAAGGAAAGCTATACCCAATACCCATGTATTTTTTGTGATGGTGTACTGAATTTGTTTTGTCTCATTTTAATGAGGTTTATGCAATTTGTTAGTAATATTAAAATGACCAGAACAAAAAACTTGATCATCAAATTATGAATTTTTTTTTTATGAATTAACCTTTATCTGTATAACTAATTTTCTTAACGATGCTGATGCTACTTCATGCTGTATTTGGTTAACCTCATAAGGAGACGACATACTGAAATATTTTCCTTTTAAAGGAAAAATTATTTTTTGCGATTTGATATCTGTATAAATGCAATAAATAGTACATTTTAACATTTTATATATGTTATATTGTGCCATTGTCACACATCACCATACACAAAACTTTGTCCTGCATAAAGTCTCAGAACCTCGTCCCATCTGCATTTAGTGAGTCTTTAGTGGGTCACAATGCCTTAAATCAAGACTATACTTTAGGTCTACTATGTAAACCAAGAGGTCCAAATAAATGATTGCCAGTAGGATAGACTAGGTGAAATAGCAATATAAACAGATCTAATAACAAGGTCATTGTACTCATTCAGCTTTCATCCCAGCTGATTTTAGTGGTAAAACAGCTGATTCATAGTAAGGTAAATCAATGAGGATGTTGAGTTATGAAGAACACTGTAGTTTGCTTCCAGGGTACATTAGCAGTAAGTGAATAGAATCATCCAGGTTAATGATTACATGCAATGTCAGGAAGAACTTTGCATGTCTCTTGCATTTAATAATCATTCATCATCATAATGCAGATAGATCATCATGTTTACAATTAGAAAACATGCTCAGCCCAGCCCAATTGCGGTTTGTGGGTCAATTTTATCTGATAGAAATTAAGTGACCTGATTTTATTAATATGTACTGTAGCTCCTTGAACTTAAAAAATGTGTATGTTTAGATTCAAAAAATTGGTTATCACAAGTCCTTAAGTGGGTCAAATTCATTGGATGTCCACCTAATTATCCCATTGAATGAAGTTTGGAGGGATATCGGGAACGCTTCCGTCCATCCTTCCGTCTGTCATTTTGAAAAATGGCCACCATTTTAATGTTTTTTACTGGAACTCGAAAAGTAGTGGAGCGGTTTTGTTCATATTTGGTATGTGAATACCTATTCAAATTTGCCTCACCTATTTGAATTTGCCTCACATACATGTATTTAAATTTGCTTCACCTATTTGAATTTGCCTCACTGGCACCTATTATATCCTATGTACAAATTAAAACACTGGCATGAAACCTATTTTTAGATCCAAGCTGCGTTCCTTAATAATGATAGAGATATCTTTTAACATTGCAGGTTGTTTGCTGGAATAATACCTAGGATGATGTGGATATCTATAGGTGGCGCCATATTCTTGGGGGTATATGACAAAATCAAGTGCATTATGACTTTACCTGAGCTCGAACAAAGCAGTGAAATTGTAGCAATGCGATGAGTTTTATCGGATGAATATACTGCAGTATGAAATGGGGCAAAATATAATGGTGATATTCACTAAAGGTTAGATGGTTAACTGAAACCATGGAGCTCCGACCGTCATTAGGTTTGTTTGGTTCTGAAAAATCCCTCGGTTTTTTTTTTAGCAGAATATTAATTGAGGGAAAATTACCATTCATAAATGCACACTCACTAAAATACATGTAACATTAAAAATCGATATGGGCGATGCAAATAAAGTGCAAAATACAGTGATCAAACAGGCTAATTTTGTTCTTTTTTTATCAAAGCAGAATATAATTGTGCGATAAGAACCGAGAATAACCAAACTGACAACCGAACCAAGGGAGTCTAAAACCGAACCAAACCGAACATTTTGAAACTGTCTGACCCCTAATATTCACTGGGCAAAATGGTTAGAAGACCAACATGATCGGTACCCTGCGCGCAGAGTCTAGTTAAACTACACTCTGCCTAGTAGAGACCATATTACAGTTTAGTAGCCCCGCCCCTACGATGGGTACCGGTGACAGTTTGGGTAATAATTCACTTCTGACATACGCGCTGACCTTTCTTCCACCAGTCAGCGAGCTTGAAGAAACATACGCCAAATGCGTGCTAATTAGATATGCGCATGTCATTGGTCAATTCCGGGCTCAATGATGACGTCAGAAGGAATGACCATATATAGAACGTCGGTCAAATTTGGCCGACGAGCACTGATTGGCGCGGTGAGTTCACAGGTTTATTTTAGTTTGAAAGAGTGAAGACGAAGCTCTCTTTTAAGAAGTGAAGTCAAACGAATGCAAAGGGTACATGATCGGTTTTCTTAACCAGTATAAAGAGTCCCACCACAATGAAAATGATAATTTGAGAAGTTATTAGAATTATCACCACTATTTTTGCTAAAACCTCAGTATTTTTATGAGGTCATGAATTTAATTCATCAGTGACAGTACCTATGAGGATATAACTCCCTGATTCCAACCATCAAGGACATAAGTATGCTCTAAACAAGGTGATTTTCAAAATGTCAACCCAATGTCATTTTAATATATTTTATCAGATCAGCTGATAGCAGATATTGTTTATATCTAGTTTTCAGCTAGTGGTTGTTTTTCATACCTAACATACCTTCATTTAAAAAATGATGAATTTTTAATTTGTTTTGAGTTGATTTGATTAGGTCATTTTGCTCTCTGAAAAGCAGCTGATCCAAATGTTATACAAATGTACAGTAAATCCCATCTAAGGAGAACAGTTTGACAGAAGTGTTCAAGTTGGTTCAAGTGGAGAAGTGGCTTTAACAAAGAGCAAATATATAGAATGAAATGAAGGTAGAGGTGTTCATGTGAGAGGAGTTTTAAATATGAGAAATTTTATTTATTATTTAATTGCAGTGGTCTGATCATATGTGTCATCTTCCTCCAAAGTCATTGCACCAAGATATGCAGGTGCAACTTGCATCTATTTGTTTAAGGGATGTTGCTCATGGCCAGCTCATAATCCAGGCACCCAGATCTTTCAGTAGGCTCATTATAGGTGAATAATTTTGAACTAGGTATAAGCTCACATTTTTAGGTACGCTTTTGGTCCATTCCTTTTGGAATTTGATGGATCCATTGACTTTTCAGATTCAGATTCAGATATTTATCACTATTTTGAAAATTGACAGATTCGCTTTAGGCAATGTTCATATGTCTCAGGCTCACCATCTAGATGAACCACCTAAATGGAAATGAACATATGTTTAGGTTCACTTTAGGTAATATCACTTTAGGTTAAGTTTATAGGCTCATTCACCTTACATACACATATCAAAATCCTGTTTCCTTTTCAGACCATTTGTAACATAATGTGGTCTTTTCAAGAACAATCCTTGATCAAAGTGGTTTGATAATTTTTTCAAAACTCTGACTATAAAATAGAGACCTTAGAATCTATAATATTTTGATGAGGTCAATTCAATTCATAACTAAGTGAGGATACAACTATAATGTAAAACTCAAATTGTAGTTTTGATATATGTAGAAAATGCAAATACACAAAGAAATATTGCATGAAAACATTATTCAACAAGGGGTCTAAGATATGTCCAGAAATAGAATGGCATTGAAAGTCTAGATTTGAAGATATCAATTTTCGATGACCAAAATTATGCTGAAAACAATGGATAGCACGAGTTTTCCCTATGGAAAAATAACATGGGATATGTGGTTTTTAACTTTAACTCATTTCAATACCAATCCCCTTTTCAGTAATTTAAGCCTAACATTTTTCAATAAGTGCAGAGGTGAGGCCCTAATCCATAATTTTTCAGAGAGTTGGATTGATATTTTACTATGGTGGGGACTTCAATTGAAAGAAAACATATTGTTTTAATAAAAGCCACTGTATTTATGGCCAGAAAATCCTCATGGTGAAAGATATGACTGTCTAAAATCACTTGCCATGCTGCACATGGACCTTTGGTTGTGGGAGAATAATGCTGACAAAGCAAATGGTTTGGTGCGTGTCATTTTGACTTTTCTCTAACTATTAACATTCTATGAATAGATAGCCTGACAATGCAATACTTTTAATAATGACTCAATGATGTCATTGAAACTACATATTGTAGTTTATCTGTACATAAGGACCACAAGGACTTGTCAAAATATGGGTATTTTGTGGATCACTCCACTATCAAAAGATATCTAGAGCATTGTGCATGTGTTTTGCTGTGTAAATTGGTGCAGTGGAGTCGGTTCTAGAAATGTTCAACATGTGTATGCTCCGTGTACTTGCAAACAGTGTAAAAGGATGGGTATCGAGATGGTGAACTGAATTCAACAATGTTTTTCTCTTCAACCAATCATAAAAAACATTCTGTAAAAAACACGGTCCTTTATGTAATGTTGACTGATTGGCAACAATTTAATGCAAAAATTATTTATATTTATTTTATATAACTGTTTTTGTTAACATTTTTTGTTTTTTTGTGCAATTGTTTTTTGTTCCTTTCTACCAATTCTTAAAAATGAAATAAAATGTCTTTCTGAACCTTGTTGGAACAAAATAGCATACACAACATTTTCTTAGACCTCTCAATATTATAGTTATACATAGGAAATTTTGGTTGATTTAACAAAAAGTATGCAAAAACTTAAAACAAAACCCCCCAAAATAGATAAAAATTAAGATAAACCTTTTAGTTCATTAACAAGATGCTTTTTTAAAATCAACCAAACTTTCCTTTGTACAATTACAATGCTGAAAGACCTAAACACGTTGTGTTTATATCGTTTTGTTCAAATGAGGTTCGGATAGATGTTTCATCTCATTCCGAACATATGATACCAATAACGAAAGAAGTGTCTGATATGTTTTCTAAAACAATATAGAGATTCAAATTATAATGTTACTATCCAAAAGATGACCATTAAATTGACGATGTGTAAAATTTTCAGAATGTCTTGATGACTGGTTTAAGAGAAACGCGTTCACCATATCGATACCACTCCTTTGAGGATAAGATATTCAGTAGAAATGGTCATTGGGTAGGGCACATTGCTATGGTAACCCTTAGTAATCATTGATTGGAGGTGTTAACTAGTATGTGTTCATGTTATTCCATAGCATATTTTACCTCAATGTCAATATTGCTAAACCAGTGTATTCCTTCAGTCATATTGATGTAATATGAATGAGTATGTCAGCACCAACACATTACATACAAGTCATGAAGCAGAACTTAATTTTTATTTAATATGTTTTCAAAATCTTAATTATTTATACATGTATTGAACATGAAATAAATTCAATTTTGTATTGGTCCAATGTTAAATACATTTTCAAATTATGAAATATTTATACAAATTCTGTATAAGATAAATTTATTTTTGTTATATTGTTATAATACAATAATTGTGTTAGTGCAATAAAAACTAATAATATATATTAATTTTTGTTTCATTATTTGATAAATAGTACTCTTTATTTGAGCTTGTGAATCATAAGATGGAAGTTCAATCCGCAAAACATGCGTGCAAGAAGAGCAATATTTATAGCATGATGAAGTTGAGATGTACATGTACATTCAATGGACACCTAGTGTACTATATTCCCTGGACTACACTACTATACCTAGCATCATAGATACACACACATTGTATATATTATATATCCGTTTAAAGAATTGAACGGTAAATGATAAATGACGAAGACGAGTGTACGACTGTACGTCATTCATTCCTTAAAAGGCGTTATTGTGTGCTTGGTATTTGTACTTTAAGCCATAAATAAATATTTTTATTTACTGTCCCTTAAAAGATGGGGTAATGTATTCTTAAAGAAATCTCATGCATAGATCTGCATGCTTGGTACGTATTTGTTGAATAAATATTTTTTATTTATTTATTGTCCCTTGACAGATGGAATATGATTGCTAAGATGGTTGCAACATCAACATATATGCATGATAAAAAGCATATTCTATTTTAATTTTGTAATATCAGATGGAGTTTTCATGGGTATTGGGTATTATAGTACGTATCATTTTATTTCTTGTCAATCTTGACATGCCATTATCTTATGCATCAAATTCTAAAATCACGCATCGTAAGGTAATGCTTAATTCACGTAATGCCCACGTCAAAGAAGTCACTGTACGAAAAGCATCACATTTAATAGCACTTGTTATCCTTCCCATTAGATAACCTTTAATAAAGAGAATAGTCAAAATAGCAAAGGATTCAATTTTTTTTTTTTTTAAACATCTTTAGATGTGATGAATATATATTCCATCAGGTTTACGTTGCAAGGGTAACACACGCGTTCTCCATTTTTACTCAATCTTTCTTTCACTTTCTAGATTTAACCAGTAACTTTTATTTTCAATTTCATCGTTCAGACTGTTTATTTTTTAGTTTTTCTAGAAAAAGCGTTACTTATTTGTACAGTATAACTGGCAATATCTGCATTTCCTAAAGCGTCTAACATGACCGTATTTATCAATAGCTTTATAAATTCTAAAAAATACCGTGTGCTATTTTTGATGAAACAAATACTATATATAGTACATTTAAATGCAAGAAAAAAGAGATACTCTGCATTTTATTATTAATTTAGAATTTTAGAGCTTGAAAATAATTGTCTTGAAAGGCAAGTCTTGGCCATACTGTAGTATATGACACCCATTTAAAAATAGTCGTCTTCCATTAAGCCTCCGGACCCCCTGTCCTTTCCCTTGTTTGGGATATTTGGGTGGGGACACGAGGGCTTGGGAAGACTAATTGTCAAAATTATTTGTATAACTGATCCCGTTTGGATTTTATTTGAATTATCCTTGGCCTAAAGGTATTTTAATTTTTCCCATAGCTGCTGTAGCAGTGAAGCGCCATCTTGAACGACAATTTGAGATATCTATCAATAGATATAACAGTTT